CTTCAGTCCGCAGGCCAACGCTCTATCCACTGAGCCAAACCAGTTAGGGCCTAATGCATTTTAAAAGGATCACTGTAGTAAAGAGTGGCATGGAAAGTGTCCAGAGGCCTAAAATGGGAGCTTTTGCATGGCTAAGTAAGGAATGGTAAATATCTCCGTCATTTCTCATTCATTAGGATGGGGGGCTTAAACTATAAAGTTCCTTGTAGGGGTTGGAAGGAACTGAGAAGTCAGGTAATTTGAATGTGGAGAGAAGGGATCAAATAAGTTTGTAGCTCTGTGAATTTGTGAAACTCAAGAAACAAGTTACCTGTTCCCAAAAGGCAGTGGTGGGACAGGCATTGGATAAAAGCTCTGGAAATTCTCATTCAAGAAGGGAGAAAATTGAAGGGGAAAATGGAGTTACCAGTTCCAGGCAATTTTGAAATCCAATCTGACAAGCTCTATTAGGTTTCAGTGCCTAGAAATATCCTCTTTGCTTTGAGGCTCTACCCTCCTGGACTCATGGCTCTGCCCTTGGGATCATCCTTTCGGTCTCATGAAGGTTTTGGTCCTCTGAAGAGGCAGGGACTCAAGACAAGGCTCAGCTACAGTATAGAGAATGCCAAGAACTTCTAAGCCTCTATCAGAATAGAAAGAGAAACTCATCATTCTCTCAGCACTTGATGCTGCTAGAATGCAGGAACAACAGGTTTTCAATAGGAAGAACACTCTCCCATTTTAATCCATGGAAATGGATGGTTCCCACTTGAGTGTAGCCAAACCACAACCCTACTACCAAACCAAGCAAAGGCCTAAGTCTGCAAACTGAATCCCTTGTGGAGTTCAGGAATAATTCTTTGAAACCATCAGCCCATAAAAATCCCAAAGAGGATCTAGACAGGGTGCCGTCAGAAACCAGAACATGTGATTATGGATCCCCAAGGAAAAAACTAGCAGATGCAGTCCCTACAAAGAAAGTACCTTCAGAGGCACAGAGGAGGAAGGAATGCCAGCACCTTAAGCCTACACTGTCTTCTAGACCAATGGTCGCCGACCTTTCGGACCTCATGGACCACCAGTGGTCTGCGGACCACCAGTTGGAGACTGCTGGTCTACTAGTAGACTGTGTTGTGCTGGTAACCATTCAGAATATGCAGATCATGCAGATCATGTTCACATTAGCCACTCTACAGACATGACCCCTCAATGCCAGCACCTTAAGCCTACACTGTCTTCTAGACCAATGGTCGCCGACCTTTCGGACCTCATGGACCACCAGTGGTCTGCGGACCACCAGTTGGAGACTGCTGGTCTACTAGTAGACTGTGTTGTGCTGGTAACCATTCAGAATATGCAGATCATGCAGATCATGTTCACATTAGCCACTCTACAGACATGACCCCTCTATTCGAATCATGCCATTATTGTGGGCGTTCCTGGGCATCTCTGATGCATGGCCAAGAAGTACTGCAGCCCAGTGAAACTGATTTAAAAAAGCAACTATCAGAAGACAGAAGGCAGCAATTTATGCTTCAAAAAATGGAGCTGGAAATTAAAAAGGAGCGCCTTCAGCATCTGCTGGAGACAAAGCTTCTCCTAAAACAGCAGCAGCTTCATCAGTCGAGCCTAGGCTACAATTGGTTAAGAACTCAAGCTGTGTTTAAGTCGAAAGAACTGATTGCGGATGAAAGAAAGAGCTTACTAAGCCCCGAGAGCTCAACTTGGATATGAGTGGGAGTGACTCTGGACCAACTTTGCTGAAGTCACCATGTGATTGGAACATCATCATCCATCAAAAAGCACCAAGAGTCCACTAAGAGTGGAGAGACTAGAAGGGAGAAGACAGGTGGGTTTCACTCACCTATGGAAGGTGATGCCCTGTGGACATGTCAAAAGAAATATACAGCCGAAACCGGTTTGGCTCAGTGGATAGATTGTCGGCCTGTGGACTGAAAGGTCCCAGGTTCGATTCCGGTCAAGGGCATGTACCTGGGTTGCGGGCACATCCCCAGTAGGAGATGTGCAGGAGGCAGCTGATCGATGTTTCTCTCTCATCGATGTTTCTCTCTATCGCTCTCCCTTCCTCTCTGTAAAAAAATCAATAAAATATATTTTAAAAAAAAGAAGAAATATACATATCTCGACCCCAAAGAGGGACGATGACAGGAGTTAGAAAAGATGTATTTACATCTCCTATGACAACAGAAAGCCAAAAGGAGTTTGTAAGCTCAATCACATCATCATCCCAACACGACGACTCCTGGTATGAGACAGCTCTGCTGGATTTGGTTCAACCTCTGAGCCCAAAGTCCACTTCTAGACCTCAGCCTCATCCCTGCAGAGAAACTGGAGCCTGGAATTACAGTGCTTGTGACTCAGTTCTCTAAAATCAACCTGGAAGAAGATGGGGGCAGACAGGATCCCCGTGGTCTATAGGAGAATCAGATTCTGGAAGATACCTTTTCATTTGATCCCAAAGCACTTGATGCAAAGCTTCCATCAGAACTTTGTAGATTTTTTAATATGCTGACCTAGGATTTAAAATTTTTAATTGCAAGTAATTATGTCTCTCCTTTCACAGGTCCCTGACTCACTAGCATTCTGTTATGCATTGAATATAGAAATCATCCTAACCAAAAGAAAGTAGTTTGTAGATTGGATGACTAGGCAAATAGTTAATCAATAGTTATATCAAATAGTAATCTCAAATAATTACATCAACTATTTTCAAGTAGTTGAAAATATAGGACTCATAGGAAGAGGTAGTTTTGGAGAAAATAAGTTCAGTTTTGGCTTTGTTGAATTCAAAGTTCCTTATGGAATGTCATAGGTAGAAATGTTCAGTAAGTTGTAGGAAATATTTGTCTGTGGTATGGAAGTTGGGGTCAGGTCAACAACATGAAGGCCACTGTTTAAGTTATAAGAGTGTACATATAGGACCCGAGACAAATTATTGGGAACTCCATTATTATCATTTAGAATACTTTCAGCTGCAAGTAACAAAGACAATCTAACTCAGACTGGTTAAGAATGAAGGGAATTTATTGACTTCTATGTCAGAAAGTCCAGGGGGAGGGTGGGTTCCAGGGTGGTTTGATTAGGGTTCTGGCTCCATTTTTCTGTGATTATTTTTGTTCCACCACCTTCATGAATCAGCTTTCTTCTGAGTTTTGCTTTCCTCATGGAGGCAGAGTGATACCAGTAATTAATTCCAGGAGTCTATCACCAAATTGCAGATTCTAGGGAGGGAGGGAGGAGGGGAGAGAGAGAGAGAGGGAGAGAGAGGGAG